CAACCTGGCTTCTCTCTTAGAGCCTAAGGTCAGGCTGTACTGCCCTGAAGGTACATCAAGCCTTGGCTTAGAACAGAAGATGGACAGAAAACTGGGACATAAGCAGGGTGGTGGTGGTGACGGCAGCGGCGGCGCACACCTTTGATCCCAGCAGAGCCAGGCGGATCTCTGTGAGTTCAAGGCCAATCTGGTCTATAGAGGGAATTCCAAAACAGCCAAGGCTACACAGAGAAGCCCTGTCTCGAGAAACAAGCAAAACAAAACAAAACTGGGCCAGATCCCCGTTCTCCTCTTTGGCCTGGTCTGACTCCCAGGTAGAGGTCCGATCCAGCAGCTCTTCAGTGGCAGGCGTGCAGATGTGTTCCTAAGACTCTCAGCAGCTTTTTTTCCTGTGTAGCTGTCCTAAGAGGGCTGTGAGATAAACACTCACACGCCCAGTTTGTATAGGTCCAGGAGAATTCCAAGAATTCGGCTCCAGTCTCCATGCTGGGAAGGATCCATAGAGAGGAAATAAACCCAAACTGGAGGCTGTGCTGGTCATACATCGCCACTCTGCCTCAGGTCTGGCCCAGCTTGCTCTGGGCCCAAGGCTAGGGTGCACTGGCTGCCCTGAGGCAGGCTGGTGCCATTCCTGTCTTCCGGGCGAGGTCTCCCTTGCCAGGAAGCTGCAGGAAACTCATGCTGGTGTTTACCAGCTCCCAGGCTGTGCCTCTGTCTGGCCACACGGGGCTCTTTGCCTCATTATCCTGCTTCCAGGATGCTGGGAGGGAGCAGTGGGTGCAGGGCACCCCTCCCTGAGCAGGAGAGCAGCAGCATGCCTGTGTACATCTGACTGCGTCCCACTTTTCATAGCAGCTATTTCTGAAGGTGGGAAAAACAACGGTGACTTGAAAGGCACAGAGGTTTGCGTAGGGGTGTGTGTGCGCTGTCACGTAGATCTTAGGGTAAACAAACACACGTGCACCAACATGCGTGCCTGCCTACATACATGTGCCATGGGAGCCCTGGGAAACCAGCTGCCTCAGCTAGAGACGGGGGCTCAGGGGTGGGGGGCGCTTGTGGTGTACTTTGTGGGTTGGGAAAGCTGCAGGAAACAAGCCGAGAAGCACCTGCCATGTAGATGGCTCCAAGTGCCACGCTTCCACACCAGGGGCCGGGATACCAAGCGTGGCTCTACCTCTGCCCTAGGAAAAGCTCCTTGACCTCTCCAAGCATCTGCTGCTTTCTGTGTCCTTCATTTTTTTTAAAGAAAGACTGTCACGAGACTGAAATGTGCATGCTGCTCATGGAGAGAGTTCTAGAAAAGGTCAGCTCCTTTTCCAAGGTTGGGAGGTGCTCTTGCCACATAAGACCTCCCTTCTCTCTCCCCTCCTCCCTCCTTCTCTCCCTTCCCACTTTTCTCCATTCTCTCTTTTCTTCCTCTTGCTATGTAGCTGAGATTGTCCTTGAACTCAGGATCTCCTTCTTCCATCTCTCAAGTGCTCAGAGTGCAGGTGTGCAACACAGTGACCACAGGACTTAAGGAACAATAGTCTAGACAACAGACCATAGGGGGCAACAAGCTCCCCCTCTACTAAGCTTAGCCCCTGGGAGCCCAATCAATACTGGCTCCCAAGGTGGGGCGGAGAGCTGTGAGCCGGCAACAGCCATCTAGCAAAGAGTACCCATTGTTGGGGAATATTATTTTAAGGTATGTTACCTTTGTATGTTGCATTTGTTTAATTCTGTGAAGCTGTGTTACTGTGCTTGTCTAAGACACCTGATGGTCTAATAGAGAACTGAACAGCCAATAGGGAGGCAGGAGAAAGGATAGGTGGGGCTGGCAGGCAGAGAGAATGTATAGAAGGAGAAATCTGGGAGGAGGAGAAGGAATGAGAGAGGAAGGAGGACTTCAGGGGCCAGCCACCCAGCTACACAGCCAGACATGGAGTAAGAAGGAAAGAAAAAGTATACAGGAATAGAGAAAGATAAAAGCCCTGAGTCCAAAGATAAACAGGATAATTTAAGTAAAGCTGGGAAGAAACAAGCCAAGCTAAGGCCAAGCATTTATAATTAAGAAGAAGCCTCAGTGTGTGTTTATTTGGGAGCTGGGTGGCAAGCTCTCTAAAAGAGAGAAAAAAAAAAAAACAAACAGCAACAACAACCAGATGGAGAGGAAGGTGAGGCTGAGTAGGCAGCAAGGGTTCTTCCGAGGGGATCTCAGTGTGTCACTTGTCCTTTAGATAAGACCTGAGCCCCTGCCTTTCCTCCAACACCCTTGTTCTGGGTGCCAAGCCAGCATTCAGCTGTGCTCAAGGCCTTAGAAGCCACCAAACCTACAAAGTTCCATGGCAGACAGCTCCTCTGCTGGCCCCATCTGTCTGCCTGGGCAGGAACAGCAGAATGTGTTATTCCTGGGCTAAGAACAGGGCCGGCTTTAAGAGGAAGAGAGAATCGGCTGAATCTGGAACCCCAAAGTGTGGCAAATCCTTAGAGGAGTCCCTTCTCTTGAGGCTGGGCACATAGCCCCTCCTGATGGAGCCTGGAGCTGCCCACTCATTTGCCATCACCATTTAAGGCTGTCACGGACCTACTCATTCAAGCTGATCAGCGAGTCCTACAGGAGCCGCAGAGAAAGGGAATCGTCTTTTCTCTCTAATGTCCGGGTGACCAGGAGTTCATGAGCACACGCACATGCCTCCCAATTGGTCTGCAAGCTCCCTGTGTCCACAGAGAATGAAGTGAAGCAGAGTACTTGAGGGCGAATATGAATAATAAAACCCACAGAACACGGAACATTAAGTTTCATATCTCCACCAGCTCTGTGCGTGGGCAATGAAGGGATTCTTTACTTTCATTTTGTCAGGAGGACAACTAAGGTTCAGAAAGGTTATAGCAGAAGTTACGCAGCTTCTTTGTGGTGAGGGAAACAACCCCAGTTTTTTTTTTTTTTTTTTTTTTTTTAACTATAACCAGCCCCAGCAGCCCAGTCAACAAGGAATCAATGTTTGCTTGAAGGGAGCTGGGTGTTAGGCTGGCTTCGAACACTTGCCTCGGCTGCAAGTTCTCTCAGAGATGGACTTGGGTCCTTAGCAAATATATCTTGTCCCCTGAGGGGCCCACCAGACCCCTTCCTTGGCTCCTGGCTAGACTGGCCCCCTTGAGGAACATGCTGGAAGAGCCCCGTTACTGTCTGAGCCTTGGTGGGCCGGGAACCACAGGGTCAAACAAAGCTCAGTGCTGCACTTAGATCTGACCCTGCCATCTGACTGTGCCGTGGGTAGCCACCCGGGCTGCTGGCTCCCTCCAAAGGCACACCGTTAGCTTGGAAGGGCTTGCACTACAAATCCCAGTGGACCTATTGCTGGTTGGATTTGCTCCCGGAACCATCTTTGGACTTGGCAGAATGTATGGA